ATCAGAGCGAAGGTCTCGGGTTCGAATCCCGGTGTGTGCACCTCGGGCATCCCAGTGCGGGGGGGTGTCAGAGGTCCACTGGTGATCCCCGATTGATCCTAGGGGAGGGTTACAGGCACGTCGGCCTGGGGGGTTATGGGCGCACTCACCCGCTACACAAACAAGCCCTTTTATCCCAGTGGTTAGTGGCTGGGATTCTGACAGAAAGTACCATCGAAATTCTGGTGGTGTAACGACAAAATTTGACAGTTCGGGCAACGACGATTTTTCATCGCAGTTTCTGGTCTACTTCGACAAGTTCGCCCTTGAGAATTTTGGGGCCCTTAACACCTGGTTTCTTCACCATTTTCCCACACTGGCGCCCTTTCGCCTAATCATCCGTGCTTTTACGTGCGACTTAACGGCTGGTTTTGTTTGTTTTCTCACCTCGGCGCAGCTGTGAAAGTTTTTGAGACAGTTTTCTTGGGAGGGGGGAGAAAGTGCGCTGCACTGTTTTCCTTCGGCATTTTCTTCGGCACGATTTCTGACCTTGTCAGAATGCGTCAGCACGACGTACGACCGCGATTGCCTTCATCGAAATCAATGGTTCCTGTACAGTCGCGACTGATCACCGCGTCAGCAGGTTCCCCCCAAGTTCGCGTCATAGTCGACCGTCAGATCGACTTCAAAGTGCATCAACGGCTTGAATTCCAACTTTCAGTTCGTTTTCGTCAGAAGTGTTCGCGTCCGTCAGATCGAAATCAATCTTCATCTACGGCCCACATTCCAACCTCCTATTCAAATTGGGCCAGGCCATCTGTAGCCGTCAGATCGGGATCCCACTTCATCGACGGCCTACATTACAACCTTTTCAAAATAATTTGTACAATAAATTTCAGCCGTCGGATTCAGCTGAAGAGGATATCAATGGCATACTCGCTAAGGAAGGCTCCATCTACATACAGGGAGGCCTTATTTGGAAGGTGGGAGAGTGTAAGGAATTACAATTCCTTACTGTACTCGCATTTTAGCGAGTACAATCCGAACACCACGCGTCAGCCTGGTTCGGCCTACTTTTCCGCCCCGAACCACTTCCGAGTCGCCACCGCTCCAATCGCAACACTTCCCGATCCATCCTAGCCCGATCCTTTCGCCTAGCTAGGGTTCCCCTTATAAAACCTCGTCACTTTCCTTGTATCGTCATTCAGTAGTTCATTCATTCTCGTTATTCGTTTTACTGCGCACTCTGCAAGTTCATTCATAACAGCGTTTGGTAAGTCGCTTAACACGTTTGGTAACTCGCTTAACGCATTTGGTAACTCTACACTAGCAGCCCATCACGCGAATGGTAACTACGTGAAATTTCCGTCGAAATTGAGCCTGATTCTGGTTTTTCCCGCTCGCGTCAGAATAAATTGACGAATCGTGAAGTAGAAACTTCTGACACACTCTCCGAAATTCTGACACAATTTCCGAAATTCTGACAAACTTTCCGAAATCCTGACACACTTTTATCTAGATAGTAGGACGAAAGATAGAACAGAGAAGAGGGGTTGTACTAGCAGCATGCAAGGTACATATAGGAAACCCTAATTTGGGTTGTACTCGCTATAGAGTACCCCACTGCAGGCTAGACAATTACAACATTCTGACACACCCCCATAGCCAAAGTGGGGTGTAATCAGCACAAATAACCAGTCATAGATCAAGTCCACAAATGCAAGTAAAGCTAGAGGCAGTCACAGAGGGCAAGTGAGGAGGAGGAGAGACTGTGAGGGGCGATCTGCTGCAGACACAACGGGCAACAGGAGCGGCGTGCACAGTGGCTACCGAGCGCACGAGGGCACCGGACTACGGGAGTATCTGGCTCCGCGGCTACGACGAGCACACACAGGAGCAACTGACCCACAGGCGACTGGCGAAGCAGGCTCGCTGGGCTACCGAAACGCGCGAGGGCATCCGGACTACTGGCGCTGCTGGCGTCACGACGGCTACCTCCACGCAACCTCCCCCGACCGTCCCACGCCCCTCTCACACACCCCCTGCTGACACCCTAGCTCCACTTCCACGGCACCCCCCTTAAACCCTAAACCTCGGCTCCCACACATCCACCCCCCTCAGCGGCAGCTGCAGCAGTGGGAGACGGAGGAGGAGGAGGAGCAGGGGACGGCGCACACACACGGCACCCCCAGAGCTGCCACCCCCACACTCCTCACCCCCAAACCCTAAAAACGGGCGGAACGGGGGAAGGAGCGCGGGGGACGGCGAGGGGGACGGCGCTCGGCCCCCAGAACGCGACCACGGGGCAGAGAGGGGCCGCGCGCGGCTCCCCAGGGCGGCGCGACGGGAAATCGGGGCCGCGGGGGGTCGCGCGCGGCTCCCCAGGGCGGCACGACGGGAAATCGGGGCCGCGGGGGGTCGCGCGCGGCTCCCCAGGGCGGCACGACGGGAAATCGGGGCCGCGGGGGGTCGCGCGCGGCTCCCCAGGGCGGCACGACGGGAAAACGGGGCCGCGGGGGGTCGCGTGCGGCTCCCCAGGGCGACGGGATCGCGGGGCCGCGGGCGACGGGACCGGAGGGCCGCGGGCGACGGGATCGGGGGGCCGCGCGCCCCGAGCGCGCGGCGGGATGAAAATGTGAAGGTCGCGCGCCACGGGGCGCGCGACACAGAGTAGGGCAGCGGAAGCAGCAGTGGGGCCCACAGGCCAGGAGCGTGAACGCTCTGTTACCATATCGAGATAGTAGGACGAAAGATAGAACAGAGAAGAGGGGTTGTACTAGCAGCATGCAAGGTACATATAGGAAACCCTAATTTGGGTTGTACTCGCTATAGAGTACCCCACTGCAGGCTAGACAATTACAACATTCTGACAACTTTCCCCTTTTCAAGATAATTGCAAAAACGTAAGCGTTGTGAAAACAATTGTTAAAACATTAATGCTGTTTTGGCGTTTTTTCCGCAAACGTTTTGTACTTTATTCTATCGCGCAGCTGGGGCAAACAAATCTATATCCCTTTCCAATGACAAATAAATTTGAGCGCAACAACCATAAATTTGAGAGCAACAACCCTAAACTTCTTGCAACCAGGCGTTTATGGATCTTTATTTAAAAAAATGAAAGATGAAATTTTACAAATGTTTACTTTTCCCACGTGCAAAAAATCTCCAAAGTTGCAGTATTAAAAAAAAGGTAAAATTTTCAATGTCCTTTTGGGGAAATATTTTTTTATCCTTTTGCAAGTCCGCAATCATGCTATCAAAAATATGATCTTGTCCATTTTTGTACGAGTTACCTATATATATAAAATGGCTCTGAAACTTTTTGGTCCGTGGTATTAAAACAAACGGGGTCCTTTAAATTCGCTGCGGGACTTGTTCACAAAAGATAATAATGTGCGTAAAATCTCTCAAACTCGATAAATTCCTTTTTGTCAGGAAAATGTTGGCGGGAATTTCATGTAGTTACCATTCGCGTGATGGGCTGCTAGTGTAGAGTTACCAAATGCGTTAAGCGAGTTACCAAACGTGTTAAGCGACTTACCAAACGCGTTAAGCGAGTTACCAAACGCGTTGAAATCGTTACCGTACGCGTTATAGTGCCCCATATAAGTTACCATTGACATATTTTCCCAAAAATGTACGTATTTATCACTCTTCTCTTCCGAATGCATTTTATGGTAAATAGGCGACCGAAACAGCTGCACAGTTCAGTTGAGTACACCGTAGTTGCGTTTTCTTGGGCAAGGCGACTGAAGGCAGAAGTGTCGGGAGAAAACACCTTGAAAACTTCATTTATCATTTGTCTTCTTTGTCACTTGCACCGTCCCCATCCTCCCGTGCTCTCACCTTGTTGCGCTGTTCTTCGCCCAGACGCGCCAACAGCTGTCACATATTTGACCACTGTTCTCTTGATGGAAGTTATGTGGGCGGGACTTCTCGTTACTGTACCCTCACTATGTTTTACTACAGTGTACAGCTGTACGCACAGTTGCAACGCTACAGAAAACTTCTTTCCGCCCTCTGAGGACACGAGTCACATTTTGTGACCACCCATAATTTCGAGGGCCAACCTTCCTTGAGGGGCAAAGCGTATTACCGGGTTTAGAATGTAGGTTCAATTAGGGTGGAAGCAGCATATTGCTTTGTAACTGTGCCAATACTAATACGGAACCAGCACTCAGAAACGACCAGTTAAAATCGCGTACTATATAGGATTGTTGGGAAACAACTTTCCTTGCTACCGAGGCATCGTCAAGCCACCCGGAACCGCTTCGTGCCAGCCACCCTGAGCCCTCCGCCTCCCTTCCGCCTCCCTCTTCGTCCCATTTTCCCACCTCCCCGCGTCAGCCGTACCAAACCATTACCTGTCTCGACAGCTACAGAATGCAGACAATTGCCCCACTGCGAAAATAAAAACAGATCCTTCCTCTGTGTTACCTCGCGTCGTGCGAAATTTCAATGTCCTCCTGCTCCCAGACTCCCACCCACCCACCCACTCTCTCCTCCCCTCCACCTCCATCCATGGCTTTCACTCCGCCCCTGACTGACTCTCCTGAAAACAGCTTGCGAACCTCAGCTTTCTTCTCCAAGCCAACTAAGCCCAGCTGATAAACAACCCCACTCTTTTATCGTATCCCATTTTTACATCCCGCTAGATTACATCGTCGTTTTTAGATCTTCACTAGGCTCCTGTGCTGTACACTCTAGATCTCCACTCTTATCACTTTAGAAATACTACATGCACTAACTGTGTCATGTCAGCTGAAGTCGCCCTCCCTGTTGAGCGGCATTCCAGAGCTCAACAGTCCTTCCCGCGCGATCCGGCGGAACCGCAATTGAAATTACGACCGAATCTCTTTACATCTCATTCGGCGGCGCCGCGTCCGCATCCATTCGAAGGCGGGTCGCGCTCCGCTCGCAATTACGCAGATTCCACGTCTCCACTCGCATCGGCTTCCAGCTCTCGCGCCGCCGCGACCGCCGCGAGCTGCGGCGCTGCTCACGGCGATAATTTCGGCGCTATGACGGAGTCTGCCACGTCAGCGTCGGCGCCAGAGGCGGCCACCTACCCTTCAGCATACGCCCCTCATGCCGCTCTCCCATCAGCGTATAGTAACAGGGGCGGCGCGTTGCACGGCAGGGCGGCTAGTTTTGACTTTATCCCTGTTCCCAGTAGCGGGCGGCACACGTCAGCATCGAAGAAATCCAACGTGGCATTCGTGAGCCACCAGAAGCAGCCGTCGGAGCAATTTGATTCAATAGCCGCCGCTCGATTATGGCTCCATTCTCCTTCGCTTGCCTCTAATGAAAACAATTCGGCATCTCCCGCTGCCGCCGCATCTCCCGCTGTAGAATCGTCCCGCGGCGCACTCCCGAGTCGCCCCGATTCGCTGCAGAAAACGGCGTCGCGCGCATTGTCCCCAGAAACGCCGCCAATGCCGCAGCGGGCCGTCGCGGCGACAAACGCCGTTACGCCGACGATGCCGCGGCAAAGAAGCACGAAAACCACCGCCGACAAATCCGCTCCTGCCGCCGTTTCTCAAGCCGGCGGCGTCTGCCGGCCGCGGCCCTCGCCGAGTCGGCGGACAGCACTCGGGATCGCCGACCTAATGGCCCTCCAGGCCGGCAAGTCTAAAGTTGGCGGCGACGTCCGCGCCTCGGGCGCCGCGGCGCGAACAAGATCGACCTCCCCAGCGGCGACGGTGGAGGCGGCAGCTGTGCAGCCGGCATCCGCGCCGCGTACAACGGCCGCGCCGCCTGCGATGATCGCGCCGCCCGTGCGCTTGCCGCCGCAGAGTGAGGCGCCGTTCTGTTTCCCCTCGATCAGCCAAGTCAACGGCGCCAATTCTTCGTTTTCCGTGTCTCCTCCCTCCGCGTTTTTCGCTACGGGCGCGCAATTCGCTCTGCGGAAAAGCCCCCCCCATGCCAATCCACGCGGAAGCGCAGCAATGAGGTTCCCCCGGTCCATGTCAGACGGGCAAACCGTGCCACGTGGCAGCAGCAGAGCAAAACCCGTTTTCCCGGTAATCGCGCGAGATGGGACGGACAACGTCGCCAAACCTTCGGAGCCGGATCGCGGCAGCGCAGATTCGCCGAGCCTGCACCAAGGCTGCGCGTCCGGTTCGGCAGTGACGGAGAGCCTCGGGGCTGCGAGGTTCGGGAGGAAATCGCGGCTCGGGCAAGGATGCGATGGGAGCGGCAGCAACAGCAGCAGCAGGGACTCTAGCCCTTCTGGCAGCGTCGACGTGGCTAAATGTGATAATAACGAGTGTTCCGGAAACAACGACGATCGCCGACCGCGCGCTTCGGACACGGAGATCTGTGAAGCCGCAGATTGCGAGAAAGAAGCGGCCCAATCGCGTGGGGGCGCGGGAATGGCGGGCGCGGGAACGGCGGGCAGTGGCAGCGGTCGCAACACCTCCAAACCACGCGCTGTCATTACCATTCCAGCCGTTCAGAACCCATTTATCCGTCCGTCGCCGCTTCTCCCCAGAGGCCCCTCCCCCTTGTCCCCGCGCTTGGCTTCCCCCCGTGGTCCCTCCCCTCTTTCCAACCACCATCCTTCCCCCCTCTCCCCCTGCATGCCTCCGCCAGTCTCTTCCTGGGGCCCTTCCCCTCTCTCCCCTCGCCCTTCCCCCCTCTCTCCTCGTCGCCCTTCCCCCTCTCCCCTCGCGCTTCTCCCCTCTCCCCATGTCGCCCTTCCCCGCTCTCCCCTAGAGGCCCTTCCCCGCTTTCCCCCAGAGGATTCTCCCCCTTGTCCCCACGCGGCCCGTCCCCACTTTCCCCCCGTGTGGTAGCCCCGCGCCCTTCCCCCTTGCACACTGCCTCTGGCCTTAGTTCACTGCAGCATCAGCTGACGCAGCAGCAGCAGCAACTGACGCAGCAGCAGCAGCAGCAGCAGCTGGTTCAAAAGTTTTTACAAATGGGTGTGGAAGATTTCAGGTCCCTTTCAGCTCCAATCTCAGCAGCAGCAGCAACAGCCGCAGCAGTTTCAGGAGGGGGGGTTGCTTCAGCAGCATCGCCACAGAGGAGATTTTCCAAGGGGAAAAAGATCCTCTTATCCCCTTTAGAGTGTTCTCCTGTATGCTCTCCAGACCTCCAGCGTGTGATGAACCGAAACCTTATGACAACTCGATCGGACAACAGTATACTGCCAAGCGGGGCCGGCTGGGCTACGGAGTCAGCGGCAGCAGCAGTTGCATGCGGCGTTCCCAAGTCGATACTTTGCCTGAAGGACGATGACGGTGCAATCACTCGCACTCGGTCGTTGGACCGACGGGTTAGATTCAACAGGGAGGTAGAAGTGCATGTCTTCTCTTGAGCCGACTCAAGAATCGGCACCAGCAGCAGCAGCAGTTTCTGTGGCGCTCCCAGGTCGATTCTTGCCATGATGGTGCAATCACTCGCACTCGGTCCTTGGATCGACGGGTTACGTAGGTTTAACCGGGAGGTAGAAGTGCATGTTTTCTCCTAAGCCAATGTATAGTTTGTGCTTGTATAATTCACTAATTGCTGGTTAAACACCTGGGGGATACCCAAGATCCAGCCTATACCATAACTTTCTGTAGTCTCCATACAAGTGTCTAAAGTGAAATGCATACCGTATAACTAATTACAATCATGTTCCATTGCATTGCTTACAACCTCAAGGCATATACCGTATTTACACTTAGGGAAGGCATGGTACCGTAGCTGGTGTTTCTCCATATGGTAGGTAGCATACCGTACTAGCACACTAGCACACCAGCCGTTGCAAGCACTCTAGCACAGACACAGGTGTGGGTATGAGCTGGATGCTGAGAATGATAAAAGAACTGATTTGGCGGCACCCTGAGTTTTGCCTCCATGTGTTTTGAAACGTTTAAGAACTCCTCCTTTTCGACATAAATTACATGGCCTGTGAAGTTAGCGCCTTGATCCTTGGGTGTTCTTTTGAGGCGCATCAGAAGGGTTGTTATGTTAAAGCCTTGATCCACGGGTGTTCTGTTGGGACCGCAGAGAAGGAAGGGGGGAGGGAGTGAGAGAGGAAATGGGAGGGGGATTAAAGGCCCTATTCTCACCATTCACATCACATGAGGTCCTTGGCAGCGGTGCTGACCTGAGCACCAGCAACACCCAGTACTACTTACAGCACAGCCCACCCACCCACACTGACTTACTCAGAATCTCAGCGACTGTACTCCGTCGCTCGTATTTCCGGCACAGAATCCTTCGCACGAGGTCCTTGGCAGCGGTGCTGACGACAGGCCATGGCTCGGTTTCAAAGCCGATTCGGCTCCGAATTACCCCCTCACAAGCATACAGCCCACCCACTCACGACCCAACCCCAAGACAGGCAGTCAGACTTACTCAGAATCTCCGCAACAGTTATCCTTCTCTCATACTTCCGGCACAGCATGCGTCTGACCAGGTCCTTGGCAGCGGTGCTCACAACAGGCCACAACCTTTACTTCGTACTGAGGAGCCCAGGAAGGAATGACTTACTCAGGATCTCAGCAACAGTAATCCTTCTTTCATACTTCCGGCACAGCATCCTTCGCACGAGGTCTTTTGCAGCGGTGCTGACGACGGGCCATGGCTCGGTTTCAAAGTCGAGCTCCTGCCACAGGATGCTCTTGAAGACGTCCTCGGTGGTGTCCCCCCAGAAGGGCGGCAGCCCGCACAGCAGCACGTACAGGATCACCCCCGCGCTCCACACGTCCGCCTCCGCGCCGTAGTTCTTGGCTATCACCTCGGGAGCAATGTAGTTGGGCGTGCCGGCACGCAGCTTGCACCTCTCGCCTGGGGGAGAAGGGGTAGGTAGGGTTGGACAAGGGGAAAGGACGGATCACCCCTGCACTCCACACGTCCGCCTCCGCTCCATAGTTGTTTACGATGACCTCGGGTTGGTAGCCATGTAGTTTGGCGTTCCTGCTCTCAGCTTGCAGCGCTCGCCTGGAGGGAGGGAGAGAGGGAGGATGGGAGGGAGGGGGGACGGAGGGAGGGAGGGAGAGAGGGAGGATGGGAGGGAGGGAGGACGGAGGGAGGGAGGGAGAGAGGGAGGATGGGAGGGAGGGAGGACGGAGGGAGGGAGGGAGGAGGGAGGGAGGGAAGGGAGGGAGGACGGAGGGAGGGAGGGAGAGAGGGGGGAGGGAGGGGGACGGAGGGCGGGAGGGAGGATGGGAGGAGGGAGGGAGGACGGAGGGAGGGAGGGAGAGAGGGAGCGAGAGGGAGGGGGAGGAGGGAGGGGAGGATGGGATGGGAGGGAGGGAGGACGGAGGGAGGGAGGGAGAGAGGGAGGATGGGAGGGAGGGAGGACGGAGGGAGGGAGGGAGAGAGGGAGGATGGGAGGGAGGGAGGACGGAGGGAGGGAGGGAGAGAGGGAGGAGGAGGGGGGGAGACGGAGGGAGGGAGGGAGAGAGGGAGGATGGGAGGGAGGGGAGGACGGAGGGGGGAGGGAGGGAGAGAGGGGAGGATGGGAGGGAGGGAGGACGGAGGAGGGAGGGAGGAGAGGGGGGAGGGAGGGAGGATGGGAGGGAGGGAGGACGGAGGGATGGGAGGGGAGAGAGGGAGGGAGGGAGGGAGGGAGGGAGGGAGGGAGGGAGGGAGGATGGAGGGAGGGAGGAGGGGAGGAGGGAGAGAGGGAGGGAGGATGGAGGGAGGGAGGAGGGAGGGAGGGAGGAGAGCGAGGGAGGATGGGAGGGAGGGAGGAGGAGGGAGGGAGGGAGAGAGGGAGGATGGGAGGGAGGGAGGACGGAGGGAGGAGGGAGAGAGGGAGGATGGGAGGGAGGGGGGAGGAGGGAGGGCGGGGAGGGAGGGGGAGGAGGGAGGATGGGAGGGAGGGAGGACGGAGGGAGGAGGGAGGGAGAGAGGGAGGGAGGGAGGGAGGGAGGGAGGGAGGGAGGGAGAGAGGGAGGATGGGAGGAGTGAGGCGGAGGGAGGGAGGAGAGAGGGAGGATGGGAGGGAGGGAGGACGGAGGGAGGGAGGGAGAGAGGGAGGATGGGAGGGAGGGAGGAGGGAGGGAGGGGAGGGAGAGAGGGAGGTGGGAGGGAGGGAGGACGGAGGGAGGGAGGGAGAGAGGGAGGATGGGAGGGAGGGAGGACGGAGGGAGGGAGGGAGAGAGGGAGGGAGGGAGGGAGGGAGGGAGGGAGGGAGGGAGAGAGGGAGGATGGGAGAGAGTGAGGAGGGAGGGAGGGAGGGAGAGAGGGAGGATGGGAGGGAGGGAGGAGGGGGGGAGGGGAGGAGGGAGGGAGGGAGGGAGAGAGGGGATGGGAGGGAGGGAGGAGGGGATGGAGAGAAAGAAGGTGGGAGATGTAGTCTTGAGATGTACCTCGACGAAGGAGGAGTTGGCGATAAATGCCTCGAGCTCCTTGATGATGGCGGCAAGCCAGAGCGGGGCGTCGGGGCAAGCCATAGCCTCTCGTACGTGGTTGGGACGAAGATGGAGGGAGCAGAGGAAAAGGCGAAGACTGGTGTTCCAGACAGGTCAAAGGTGATGGGGAGGAGGGAGGGGTCGGAAAGGTGGAGGTCAAGGAACTCCTCATGGGAGTCCTCAGAGAGGGAGGTGTGGAAGGCGCGGATAACCGCTGGGGCCGCTGCTCGTGCCGCTGCTGGTGCCGCTGCTGGTGCCGCTGCTGGTGCCGCTGCTGGTGCCGCTGCTGGTGCTGCTGCTGTGGAGGCCGTTGTTGCCGCTGCACTTGCCGCTGCTGGTGCCGCTGCTGCTGCTGCACCTGCCGCTGCTGGTGCCGCTGCAATGGCTGCTGCTGGAGGTGCTGCTGCTACCGAGGATGGGGGGAGGTTGGTGCAGGAGAGGCGTGGTGTAAGACAGCCTGGAAGAAGTGGTGAAGGAGGGGAGAAAGAGGGGGAAGGGAAAGAGGGTAGAGAGGGTAACAGGGGGCGGTGCACCAAGGATACTGTCACATGACCTGGTGTGAGGATTACCGGTTGAGTATGGGTGGGGAGTGGGGGAGGGAGGTGGTTGGGAGGGAGGGGGAGGGGCACCGGGGGAGGAGTGGGCGGGGGAGACAGGGGAAGATAGAGGGTCCGGGTCAAAGATGTCACCAGACGAGGGAGGGGCACCGTGGGACTGGGAGGGCGGAGGGGAGGGGGTGGGAGAATGGGGGGAGGAGGGAGGAGAGGGGGAGGGGTGGTGTCAGACCAGACAAGGGGACGGGTCAGAGGTGGGAGAGGGTCAGTGGACGGGGGAGAGGAATAGTACGGGGTGGACTCGTCAAAGACGACATCTCTGCTGCGAATTAGTCGACCGGGAGGGGGGGGTGGAGGAAAAGGTAGTCGGGGGAGGAGGGGTTATGACCAAGGAAGACGCAAGGAAGGGTACGAGGGGCAAGCTTTCCAAGGGAGCGGGATCGGTCAGACGGGTGAATGAGGACATAGGCCTTTGAGCCCCAGACTCGAAGAGGGGAGACATCGGGTTTGTCCTTTGTCCATAGCTCAGTGGGGGTGGTGGAGGGGAGGAGGGGTGAGGGTAGAGGTTAGTAAGGAGGGCGGCATGAAGGAGGGCGTAGCCCCACAGAGAAGGGGGGCATGAGGCGTGGACAAGAAGACACCGAGCCGTTTTGGTGATCTCCCGAACACGGCTCTCAGCGACACCGTTCTGCTGTGGGGAGTGAGGGAGGGTGTGAGTCTGGAGAATGCCGCGGGACTGGCAGGTAAGTATAGGAGGAAATTTGGGTATTAAGGAACTCACCACCACCATCAGAGTGGAGGCGACGAACAGGGCGGCCAAAGTGGGTGTTGGCTTGCTCGAGCCAAGCAATGATCGCGGTCGGGGCATCCGCCTTCGTCCGAAGGAGAGAGACGGACGGAGAGTACGACTGTGGTCATCGACGAGCACGAGGAGGTAGCGATGGCCTTGGCGAGTGGGGGAAGGGTTAGGGCCCCAGAGGTCCATGTGAACAAGATCAAGTGGCTGAGCAGCAGCGGAGGGGGAGCTCCGGTGCGGCTGCTGCTTGAGCTTGCTCTGAACACAGACGACGCAAGGGGGGGCAGGGGACTTTGGGAGGGGAGGGAGGGAAGAGGGGAGACCGTGGAGGAGACCGGAGGATACAGAGGAGCGCAGAGTGGCGAAGTTGGGGTGACCTAGCCTGTGATGGAGGAGGATGGCAGGGTGGGAGAGGGAGCGACATGAGCAGTCAGAGTCAGGGGGCGGGGGGGGACGGGTGGGTTAGTGGAGGGGAGGGGAGGGGGGGGGGGGGGGGGAAGAGGGGGGGGGAGGCAACTTGGAAGGTGAGGGGGCGAGGAACTCGAAGGGTGTATAGACGGGTGCGGGGACAGTAAGGAATACGGGCGAGGAAACGACCTGTGGAGGTGTGGTAGAGATCACAATGGTTAGCACCACCTGGGGTGAGAGTGGTGATCATGGATTGTTGGAGGGACCTTTGGGAGAGGAGGTTGGTGCGAAGGGAGGGAATGTGAAGACCTGTGACAGTACCTGAGGGAAAGAGAGGACAGGGAAGGGTGGAGGTGTTGTGACAGGGGATGGAAAAGCTGCTATCAGCGCCAAGGAGGGACGTGGATGTGGGAAGAGGATTGAGTTTGCCGGCATCTCGAAAGACATTATCAGTGGCTCCACTGTCCAAGACGAACTCAAGGGTGGAGGAGGGTGAGGCGGAATACTGAATTGAGGTTTCATTAATAGCAGGGGCATACATAGGAGATGCAACAGAAGGAGGCTGACTAAGGAGACCAACAAAGCCAGAGGAGGGAAAGGGGGTCACACTGCCACCTGTGGACGGCGCAGGGGATGGACCGGAGAGGTGGGCCGCAGAGGCGGCATTTCCGGCGGTCCAGCTGGGAAACGGCTGCTGCTGGGGGACAGGAGGAGGAGGGAGGAGAGGAAGTTGGGGCTGGAGGTCGAGCTGCTGCTGGAGCTGCTGAAGCTGCTGCTGGAGCTGCTGGAGCTGCTGCCCATACTGCTGCGGTCCCTGCTGCTGGACACTCTGCTGCTGCTGCTGCTGCTGCTGCTGCTGCTGCTGCTGCTGCTGCTGCTGCTGCTGCTGCTGAGAGGGGAGAGCAAAGGCCTGGTGGGCCTGGGAGGAGGAGGAGGGGGCGTAGAGGGGAGAGGTGCGAACATCGAGGGGAGTGGGGCGGGGATTAAGGGCGGACCAGCGAGGAGGGGTGCCAGAGTTCCCACGAGCGAACCACTCATCGCTGAGTGCCTTGAAGCACGTGTCAGTTGCATGAGTGGTTTGGTTGCAGCGTTGGCCTCGGGTGGGGCTATAGAGGGGAAGATACTGACAGGGTGGGAAGGCCGCTGCTGCCCCACGACCCGCACCACCACGACCGCCAGAGCCGCCTCGACCACCACCACGCCCACCTCCACGCCCTCCCCCACGTCCGCCCTTGCCGCTGCGCTGCTGTGCTACCGCGGCAGTGGAGGAGGAGTGGCGAAGGATTTCAGCCTCAGTGGTGATAATCCACTGGGCAACTTGAGCGGGAGTGTCATGCTTGGAGAGGAGTTGCATGTATGCGAGCTTGTGGGCATCGAAGGCGGGAGTGAGGCCTTCGAGGAGGTGGCAGCAGATGACAGTGTCAGGGTAGGTAACGCCAAGTGCTGCGAGGCGGCGAGCAAGGTCAAGGACGCGGCGAGTAAAGGCGGCTGCGCCGGCAGTGGAATCCATGGTGATGGATCCAAATTCCTTGATGAGGGCATAGAGGGTGGCGATGTCCTGCCGGTCAAAGAGGTCGACAAGCAGTTGCCACAGGTGGGAGGAGGAGGTAGGTGAAAGCTCTCGTTTGAGGGAGGAGGGGATAGTGGCGAGGAGGATGGCGAGAGCTCGACGGTCAGCAATGCGCCACGCAGCGATGTCGGTGGTGTAGCTGGCGAGACGTGTAGTGTACGTGGCGAGTCGAGCTTGGTAATCGCGGTGGCGGGCAGCAGCCTCGTCGTAGGCGCGCTTGTCGTCCTCATAGCGCAGTTGACGGCGAAGGTGGTCGTTGAGTGCGGTGCGGTAGGTACGGATGGCAGTTTCCATGCTCTGAGGATTGTTGACATCCGGCGCGAAGGTGGGAGGATCACCAGGAGGCTCGGGCTCAGGTCCGGGCTCGTCAGGAGGAGGTCCGGTGGGGGCGGAAGGGGCGATGGGCTGGAGTCCGCCTTCCTCCTGGAACACGACGGAACGGAGGGTATATCCGCTGACGACAACCGAGGAGAGCAACACCTCGACGGAGTGGGCATAAGAGTGCCAGTTGGCGGCCGAGTTGTCGCCCAACAACTCGAGAGAGTCAATGGTCGCCAGGTCGACCGATGAGTCTGCGGACGCCATGATGGCGAAGTCGGGAAGGTGCTGCTGCTAGTGCTGTTGAAGGTGCCGCTGCTGGTGCTGTTGCTGGTGCTACTGCTGGTTTTAGGGTTTAAAGGTCGCTGCTAGGTGCTGTTGCTGGCTTAAGGGTGAAGGGTGAAGTAGGAGGGGGGGGGGAGGGGTAGGGGAGAGGAAGGATGGCGCGGAAGTGTGGGGCAGGGCGCGGATGAAGGGGGGAAGTTGCGCAGGTCAGTCGCGGCGGCGCGTCGGCCGCCCGTGAGAGCGCGAGGGTCGGCCGCGGCTCTGCGTCGGCCGTCCGCGTCAGCGCGAGGGTCGGCCGCGGCTCTGCGTCGGCCGTCCGCGTCAGCGCGAGGGTCGGCCGCGGCTCCGCGTCGGTCGTCCGCGTCGGCGCGGAGGTCGTCGGCGATCGCGCGGCGGCCGTTCGGGATGGCGCACAGGTCGGCCGCGACTCCGCGCTGGCCGTCCGCGTCGACGCGCGGGGTGCTCGTGGCCGCGGGCTGGCCGTCCGCGACGGTTGGCTGGCCGTCCGCGACGGCTTGCTGGCCGTCCGCGACGGCTTGCTGGCCGTCCGCGACGGCTTTCTGGCCGTCCGCGACGGCTTGCTGGCCGTCCGCGACGGTGTGCTGGCCGTCCGCGACGGCTTTCTGGCCGTCCGCGACGGCTTGCTGGCCGTCCGCGACGGTGTGCTGGCCGTCCGCGACGGAAGGCGTGAGGGAGGGGTGGCGGCGGGAGGGAGGATTGAGGCCGCGGGAGAGCGGTCGGAGGCCGCGAGAGGGAGGATTAAGGCCGCGGGAGGGAGGATTGTGGCCGCGGGAGGGAGGATTGAGACCGCGGAGGAGTAGATCTGAGCCGCGGAAAGCTAGATCTGAGGTACGGGAGGGAGGATTGAGGCCGCGGAGGAGTAGATCTGAGCCGCGGAAAGCTAGATCTGAGGTACGGGAGGGAGGATTGAGGCCGCGGGAGGCTAGATCTAAGACGCGGAGAGGAAATTACGGCCTAAGGATCGAGGGAGGTGGCGTGAGCCATTTGGCTCTGAATACCATGATAGAATTCAAGAGAATGGTTGAGTAATGAGCCAAGGAGGCTCTATAGTACAAGCATGCAAGGAAGAGAGGTTGGAAGAAGGTGCAACCCTATTGGCCACTAAGTTGGCCAATGGGTGAGTTGCCTTGTGGAGTAGGGAACCCCACAATGTTGCTAGCTTGTGATTGGTTGGCCTTAGGACCAAATGTTGGCAAGTGCCAACCAAGGACCAAGACCAAACCAAATCTTGACCCAACCACAAAGTGTGGTTGGAGTGTACACCCAACCCCCCAATGGCTTAAAGAGCTACACCTATTCTAGCCTATGTATGTTGTATATATAAGATACATTTACAACAGCAAAGACAGCTCCCAAGCCCACCTGACACACCCACCTGCTCCCAAGCCCACCTGACACACCCACCTGCTCCCATGCCCCACTCACCTGCTCATCTTCCATTGTCTCGACAATCGACACCACAAAGGGATTGCCTTTCAGCGTCTCATTTGTGCATCTTACCAGCCAAGATCTCCGTGCGTGTGCTTCAAGCCTCACCTTCTCGTCTTCCATTGTCTCGACGATCGACACCACAAAGGGATTGCCTTTCAGCGTCTCCAGCACAGAGGGGTCTGGATTGATGCAAGTCACAGCGGAGGCAACACACAGCTGCGGGTGTGCTTGATGTCTCACCTTCTCGTCTTCCATTGTCTCAACGATCAACACCACAAAGGGATGGCCTCTCAGCGTCTCCAGGATTCTCACCTCCCTCCTCACATCCTCCACATCGTCCCAACACTGGGAGAGGGAGGGGAGACGCGGATAAAGAGGGTGGGAGAGGAGGGAATGTCATGTGTGGGTGGGGTGCACATGACTATGAAGCGTCTCCAGCACACTCACCTCCCTCCTCACGTCAGCCATGAGGATATGAGAGGGAGAAACGCAGTCAGACAAACAGTGCATTCGGGATGCTCACCTCCCTCCTCACGTCCTCCATGCCGTTCCAACACTGGGTGATGGACAAGGGGAAGGAACGAAGGGAGAGGGGAAACGGAGGGGAGGGGGAAACGGCGGGGAGGGGAGGGTGGGTGGGACATGTAGCCCCCAGCATTAGGGGTCTGGGAAGGGGTTTGAAAGGAGGGGTGGGACGGAAAGGGAAGGGAAAGAGCGAGAGCATGAGGGTGGGGGGAAATGCACGTCTCCAGGCTCCAGCACGCTCACCTCCCCCCTCACGTCCTCCACGTAGCCCCCAGCATAGGGGGGAGCAAAGAAGGAGAGGGGCGTAGAGGAGGGAAGGATATGAGAGGGCAGTGCGAGTTGCGAAAGCGTCTCCACACACTCACCTCCCTCCCTCCTCACGTCCTCGTTCCAACACTGATAGGATGGGGGAAGAGGGGTGGTTGGTGATGAGGGAAGGATACGAGAGGGAGAATCTCAGCATTGAGGGATATCAGCACTGCTCACCTCGAATTTTGCCTTGGTGATGCTCTTGCATGCAAACTGCTCCCCAGTCTCCCAAGTCTCCCCCACGTGAATCAGTCCAAAGTTCCACCTCCCCCTCCCCCATCAACTCCTTCGCTTCCCTGCTACCGTATATACACCAAACTGAACACTCAGCACTCCTCACCTCAAACTTGGCCTTGGTGATGCTCTTGCATGCAAACTGCTCCCCAGTCTGCAAATTCTCCGCTACATGAATCACTCCAAAGTTTCCCCTTCCTAGCTCCTTCTCAGCTAGTTTGTACTTCTTCCTGATATCCTCATACGCTTTCCCCAACCCATTCGCACAAGTCGGCCCTTGCTCCTCTGCAGCTTCCTCCTCTACCAACCCCCTTTCAACCTCTCCCCTCTCCGTTTCCCCCCCGTCGATCCGGTAGTAGTCGCTAGGCTGGGGCGTCCGAAGCGGGAAGCCAGCTTCGGCCCGAGCCGAGGCTCCAGCTTTGGGGGACGGGATCGGCGTTCCATGCTCTGGATTTCGGCCAGTTTGGCTTGGTCCCGAGCCTTCTGTGCAGCTATGGAACCGGGGCTAGCCAACAGACTACTCCCGCCAGGGGTCATAGCTCCGGGAGTCATAAATCCGGCTGGGAAACCCACTTGAGGCAGCATGGGGAGCCTACTAACGGAGAGCCTACTAACGGGGATGCCATGCGTGGGCTGGCGAAGGGGCTAGCATAGGGGCTATTATAGGGGCTGGTAGACCGCAGAACGATTCTGGGTTTATGAGGGCCTGGGCTGTGGTTCTGCCCTGTACTTGAACCTCCTGATAGACCTTCCCCAGCACAGGGGCTATTATAGGGGCTGGTAGATGGAAGGACGATTTTGAGTTTAAGAGGGGCTGGGCTGTGGGTCTGTGCTGTGCTTAAACCTCCTGATGGGCTGTGTGGGCCTTCCCCAGCATAGGGGATTCCCGCCCCTCTAGGGCTTCCGCCCATGCCGCCTCCTTCAAGGGACCCTCCTCCTGGGGACCCCCCTGCTGGAATATTAGATCCTCCAGTTTGCAGTTTAGAGCCGGTTGCAGGGGAATTAAAGCCGCTCATGTGGGGATTAAAGCCCACCTCTGGATTGAACCAGGCTTCACAGCTAGCGGACCTCCTATGGCCCATCTTTTTCTTTACAGGAGCCCCCCCCGCCCCGTCTCCCCCTGTGCCGCTTGCCCCTCCCCCTCCCCCTCCCCCTCCCCCTCCCCTGCCCCTGCCCCTGCCCCTGCCCCTGCCCCTGCCCCTGCCCCTGCCCCTGCCCCTGCCCCTGCCCCTGCCCCTGCCCCTCCCCCTGCCTCTGCCCCTGCCCCTACCCCTGCCCCTGCCCCAGCCCCAGCCCCTGCCGCTCCCCCTCCCACTCCCCCACCCACTCCCCCACCCACTCCCCCTTCCGCTCCCCCTTCCGCTCCCCCTCTCCCTCCCCCCGGTCTATGCAGGGGATGCGCTTGCGGGGGCTGCCAGCCTTTAAAGCCACTGGCTTCAATCGCCTCCTGCGCGCCTCGATACGCGGCAGCATTCGTTCCGGGAAAGCCGTGTAACTCGTCGGTCGCGTTGGCGGCGGAATACCTTTTTTGAGAATTCTCACAAAACCGATACGCGGCAGCATTCATTCCAGGGAAGCCTTGGTGCTCGTCGGTCGCGTGGGCAGCGGAATACGCGGCGAAAGAGAAATCCTCGGAGCGGATTCGGCGGTGACGACCCGCCATCATGGGCTTAGGAGGCCTGGTAACCTCAACTGGGTGCCTTGTGTGTGAATAAGCATACCCACCAGCCGCGTTGCTACTTCCGCCGAAGCTGCTACTGCCGGGTAAGCCGTAGACCGCGTTGTTGTTGATGCTGTTACCCGTCACATTGCCGTAACCACTGCTAGAACCAGCCGCGCTGCTGTTATTGTTACTAAAATTGTAGCCTGAGCTGCTACCAGTTACGCCGTAGACAGCGTTGTTGCTGATGCTGTTACCCGTCACACTGCTGTAACCAGCCGCGCTGCTGTTTTTGTTACTAACATTGTAGCCGGAGTTACTTCCGCCACCCATGGTTCCGTAAAAGCCGTTTTCACCTCCATCCGCGCGACTGGCGCCGCTGTTTACGCTTCTGGCATGACTGCCGCTGCTGCGGTTGTTGTAGCTGTCGCTGATTAAATCAGAGGATCCATGATAAGGCATTTTTTGCGGCCATTGTTGATTGGTTGCCTGCGACCGTCCAACCTCCTGAGCAGCACTACCATAACTTACATCAGAACCTGGCGGCGATTTTGGAGGCGAAAATAGTCGTCTTGTATAAGGCCGCGGATTGTACGCGTTATAGCTGCATCCGTAATATGCTTGTTCACGAACTTGTCTCATTCCGCCCGGAGAACGTTGCGGGTCCTGCGGATGATAAGAAGACAAAATAGTTCCCGAATGCCGACGGCGGTGGCCAGGAGGAGCCACCGCAACTTCATGCTCTGGAAAAGTCTCTTCATTCAATACTAAGTTAGTAACTCCGACACGCGAACTCGCGCCAGACTGATGGCTATAACTTATAGGGTTTGAAGTTACGGCCTGAAGCCGAGACCCAGATACTGGAGATTGAGATTGGTTCGGAACCATCGGATGATTTGTCGGGTTCAAGTTGAACTGGAAACTATCGGAATGACTTCGTCGATGTCGGTTGTTTGGCTTGACAGGCAGAGGAGGAATAGGCGACACCGCACGATGTACGCGCTCCTGTTGTTCCGAGGCATCGGGAACGTTCATTTGCGCGACGCGATGTCCCGGCTCTCGAGAGCGTGGTCCAGAATCAATAAGAGTGACGCATTCTCAGTTTCAAAACCTGGAAATGCTATCCGGAGGAATAAGCAGGTGCTTTACCTGCTTCTGAAGAAATAAGAAACAAGCAGCCTCCGACATTGATATCAGTAATGAGAGGACGTCATCTAGACTCCTATGGTTAGGCTGAAATCGAGGTCGTTTCTACCGTAGATCGAGCGAGCTGATGGATGGAGTCGATTACAGTACACGGAGGGTCTTCACTTCACAGCTACGTGTGTTGCGGTTCGGCAAGAGCGGGAAACTTTGTCGTTGATCTCGAGTTTCCCCGTTGCGATGTTCGCCAACGCAGCAACCCAGGTTGCGAAGGCTGCGCTTTTGGCGAAATGCACCCGCGCACTATGGGCTGAGCAAGCCATACTCGTAGCTCACTGCACCGTGCAGTACCCTCTCTCATCTTACTAACATATATCTGCTACAGTAAATCGACTGGGGTTCTGTTCTGTCGCAGGGCATACAAGACAAGGCCCCAGTAATCGTGTCGAGGCAGTGGGTTCAACTTCACGTCCGCCCGCCCCGCATGTAGGCTGTGTGGTGTGGTCCTATGGCCACAGCACTTGGTGGTCCAACAAAACGATATTCCTTTTAGCTCGCATTGGTTCAAATACAAGGAGCTCGAAAACAGCGCGCCTAAACAAATTAACTGACGGTACAACTAATGATATCAAAGATAGATAACTTAAGTTCCTATGAGGGATGTACTATTTAATTAGACCAAATGTCAATT